GGAGAAATGCCTGGTAAATGAATACAGTCAGTGCAAGGTGCAAGGCCACAACGTGAGTAATACAGTGTTTTAAAATTATTTTCTTTCAAATTGCCAAATGCTGGCTTTACCTATAACAGTCGGTCAGTTAGTCACTTGGAGTGGAGCGTTACGTGCCACTTTTCTATACATTTATTAGGCCTCAAGTTAAGACTACTGTAAAAAACTTTGACAAATCGTATGGCTAGGCCGATTTCCCGGCTTCAGTTTGATGAGACATTTGGCTTTTAGTTTTAGCTTTTTTTCGTAACAGTCCAGAACAAGAAAAGAAATGTGCGCAAAACTTTATTCAAGTTTCAAAGGAACCACGCCTGACCTTAGACTTCTTATTGCCTTTGCTTGTTAATGATTCACGATACTTAAGTTACTTTTATTTTACATCTCTTTCAGCTAAGTGGCATGAAGACTTTAGGAGAAAATACAGCTGACAATGGAGGATTAAAACTGGCCTACATGGTAAGGAAATTTCTATTGAGGCTTAAACATAAGCTGATAAGAGCGTAACACATTACACATTACGAAGTAAAAAAAAGGTATTCGCAAAATTGATTGTCGAGAAACGCTCCAACACATATGGATTGATAAAATTAATAACAACTTTTTCGTTTTCTAACAGGCTTATCAAAAATGGCTTCGGAACAAAGATCACGATACTACACTCCCCAATCTTGGACTCACCTCACGTCAACTCTTTTTCCTTTCTTTTGCTCAGGTAAGGACGCGCACAAGCTGCGGGTTGTATGTGACTACAACCTTTTTTATGTTGAGGATTCTCTTTTTGTGGATACAATTCTTTCAGGGGCACCCAACGAGAATATAGTTCAAAACCACTTAAACATAGCATTGTTAAACGTGTTTTAGTATTTAAACGGTGGATATGGGCATATTTTTATCCCATACAAATTTTTCATCTGTTCGGATTTCCTAGCTGAAAGTCTAGTGATCCGAAAATTATAGGGATCAAAACTTACCTGTTCGAAAATTTCAGCCAGAGAAAAGGCTCCCGAAAATTCTAGGTGACCTTTTTAGGGTAAGAATCCGTTGAAAATGGGCAATTTTACCATTTATTAGATGTTCGAAAATCCTAGGAGAGGCAGGCAAGCAAGAAATTTCACAACAAATGTTCCGAAAATTGTAGATCTCAAATCGTCCTCCGAACAGATATTTTTCCGAAAATTGTCGTTGGGTGCCCCTGTTCTTTGCCCAAAGAGGGTTTGAGACTGTGATTGTATCCTTGGTAACGATACTGACAGAAAGTACTTCCTCTGTTTGTGTTGTTCTTGGTTGTTTTTGTTTAGTTTGTTGTTGTTTTTTAAAGTCGAAACGTTTATTTATGTTAACCCGAAGTTGAATGGCTAATTCTTCGATCAGAGTAGTCAGTTGAGAGTAGGAGTTAACTCATCTACAAGCCATGACACAGATTTCAGTACTTTTACAAAATTAAAGTATTATATTTTTCCGCTTTACAGATCTGGTGTGAGGAATCTACTCCTAGTTATGCCTTAAGCGAATTAGCAACAAATGTTCACTCTCCAGGAAAATGGCGGTAAGATAATATTCAAAACCGGATAGAGTGTCTCACAAGATTTGCAGACACTGAGAAACAGACACTGGGGGTAGATTCATCTGCAATTTGCGTGTATAGCCGTCGCATTTGTCTGTTTTAAACTAAAAAGATAAATGAAATAATTTTTTTTTAAAAAAAATTACAATTCACCATATTAGAAAAGGGAAGTAAATTGAGCCGAGTTAACTTTCACAAGACGTCTGGGACTGTTACAAGGGACAGGGCGGAAAAACAGCCAAAATAGCTGACCGGTGCTTGCCCAGAACCCTTCCAAGAAGCAATTTCGGGGAGCCCCTTCGGCTCCAGTTCCCTTCTCGATTCTTAAGTGGCGGATGAGCAAATGTGACGATAAATGAATCCACCCTGAGAAGCGCTGAGTTTCCTTAGAGTGCCCCAACGTCTGTTTTGTAGGATAGAAAATGTACATTTGTTATCAGTTGATAAAGGTATGGTCAGGAGCCTATGAGCAGGAGCGTGCATCTCCCTTACTTGCATACACATGCAACGGCCATGGCAACGGCGCTTTCACAGATCAAGTTATTTTCGGCATCATTATTGAGCACCTTTTCCCGCGAAAATAGAAGCACCGTTCCGTATGCGTGCGCATCCACGTTACGATAATTACAAAACTGAAGAAGAAGTAAATGCTGTCAAAACATCAGAAATAAAATTTTTAAGTCTCGGGTTTTTGATGACTGATTTGTAAGACTTATTTGATATTCAAACTAACTATTCTATGCATTTTTCCTTCCTTAGTGTGTTAGTGACCCTGAAAAACCATCCTCACTTTGCCGAGGCTTTCCAATGCAAACCTGGAACGCCAATGAATCCATGGAAGAAATGTCAAGTGTGGTGACGGCGGGGGGGATTAGAAAATATTTTCTTAAAATTCGAATTTAGAGAAAAATATCTGCCAAATATAATTATGAAATTAACACCCACCCATGGCGTGCAATATTTATGACTATATTTAACTTTCTCGTAAGAGGCAGATTTTTATTTCATGACAATTCTGTAAGGGGCTTAATTATAATTAGCAGAAATGGATTTAACTGTGTACAGGACTAAACACATCATTCAGTGTAGTAAGAATTTTAGATGATCTATTTTTATAACTTGAAATGCACTGGAGAAATATTAGTTACATCTGGCTCAGTAGTAGGGGCAATAGAATTTCACTAGAATAAATAGGAGAAAAAAAAAAGAATTGTTATAGTCAAATTCTCTTACCTGTCTCTTGGTAAGAATATGCGATTAAAGCAGTACCTTCACATTCTTACACAGAGCCTGCTTGGCAGTTTTTTCAGTGACATAATACACGTCGTACGAATCGACTGAAGTTCAGGGCGAGCTGTCATCTGACGACTAGTCTATCATACAATTACAGGTGGAAATGAGGCTGGAGTTGCCCTTGTTTTAATACAACCGGACCCTTACTGTTTTATTTTGTAAATTATGTCGTTCTTATGTTGTGTGTGAAAGTAGAATAAATCTTTATCCAGTGGATAAATTGCTATTGGTTTCCATAATTTTTTTCCCCTAGATAGTGATTTGTCCCGTAAATGACGTAATCCAACGTTTGAACATCCGGTACCCGGCCAGCGGCGAATTGGCGAATCTGAATAATCTATAAAACGAAACTAGAACGAGTTTCCGGGGCACCTTAATATTTTAGTACACAGTGTCGAGACATGTAAGACGTAAACGACATTTCGTGCTAATCCGAAAAGTATACCAACAACATCATCATTACTTCGCAGTTCTAATTATACTGATGTAATTGTTTCTAAAAATTACAATAACCATGTCACAGCCTTCATTGCCTTAAGGCATCTATATTTCTTTTTCTTGACCTTTGAATATAAAACTTATCGTTTTAATGCAACGAAGGAATTAGAGGCATTTTTGATGCAGCTAAGTTTTTCAATGACAGGGGAGGGGGGCGGGGAAGAGCGGAGGGCTGACAAGTACCTTGAAGTGGGAAGGCTTATGAGACTCTCAGCCATGAGATACAAAAAAGGGGAGCTCTCCCCTCTTCCCGATCCCACCTGCCACAATAAACCGGTTGATCCAAACCGCGAACAATTTGGTTAGGACTAGGAACACAGCCCTCATGCATATTTACGTCAGATAAGCAAATTCAACTGGCCATGGGTATAGTTGAAAAGAATACCCATGAAGCTGGCAAATACAAAGAATTTTGTTCACTTGATGGCGAACTTCGCTCGTGTGACGCTCATTTATCTGGGGGCCATTCTGGCCCATTAACGGTAACTTACATAATTTGTGTCTCGCTCAGTTCTGGCGTTAATTTTTGTGTTGCGTGCAGAGACAGTGGAATTAGGGTTCAAATGAGATTAATAAAGGATTTTTTTCTTTAGGAGAAACAGATATGCAAATAATGACCTTCCGCTTGTGGACCTTTCTTAATGAAACTTATCATTGTTTCTAACCTGGTCTTTTGACAAGTTATCGTATTTTGTTATTGTTTCAGGTTAAGTGAAAAGAATAATAATAAATACCTTGGCATGACACAACTATGTCCCACGTGGTACGCGTGAACAATGATAAGCTCATTATATATGGAACTTTTTCAAGCGTTTGATCAAATTGATATGACTGTGCACATCAGACTTATTAGCAAACGGCTGTCAGTATAGATAGAGTCACTGTCCGCTTAGTGTCGTTATCTTAGCGTTTATCGGCTTGTCCAGCCTGTTAAATTTGACCAAGGTGAAAGTCGCGCATTATGAATTCCGATAAAGAAGTTACAGAATCTAAAAGGGTACGCGAAAGTGGTTTCTCTGGGATAGTTATGAGCGACTTTGGCGAAAATGGGAAGAAGAGGAGTCTAGAACCATTCAATGATTCAACATCTTCCAGTGAAACCACCGTGCATAAAGATTCCTGCCGGAAGATTTGCATCATTGCTAAATTACAGTGTGTATTATTCCCTATGAAACTATTCGGATTGTACATCCAAGAAGCGACAAGTGCGTGTGGACAAGACTTTTCAAGTCGAAGAAGGACCTATTATTTAAAGCGTGCGTATCAGTGCTTTGTATTGGCGCTTCTATGGGGCTATTTTTTGAAGGCCTGCGCTCACTGGATCATATCCTCTCGATCTAATGTTCCTATGCTGTTGTGGAATTTCCAGACCGCTCTGCAGGGCACGATATGTTTTTTCACCATGCATTTAACAGGGAAGAAATCAAACTTAAAAAGTTTGTTGATGTACTGGAACACGCAACCCAATTTCGACGAATTAGTCACCGAACCGTATATGATAAAATGTGTCAAAAGGACTCAACTTGCGGTTTATTTCCTTATGGCATTCAATACAGTGCTTTATGGTTTAATCCTGTTCCTTCCCTCAGAGTCTTTACAGCCCCTTGTGGATTCAGTTATCTCCCCGCTCCCTGACAGCATGGCTAGTCGGGTCATTTTCTTTCTCCTCTCTCTGTATTGTTCAGCTGCTTGGTTAATGCCCTTTGGAATCTTTACCGCTGTGTGCCTGACCTTAATTCACCAGTGCCATCGTCTACGAAAGACATTACGACTAACAGCTTCCGCCAGTGAAGTAAGAAGAATCAAGATTTTAAGGCAGCAGCATTCGTCCCTGTGTGGTTCTGTGAGAAAGGTCGACAACTTGTTTAAATTCTTTACGCTTGTTGTCTATGTGACAAACATTCCAATGGTTTGCTTTCTTCTCTTCGATCTAATATTTAGCAGGCCCCATGGCGTGACAACTCAACTGACCTTGAGTTTTTGGTTTGTCACTGTTGCATTGATAATGATCAGCGTGTCATTCCTTGGCGCGCATTTAAACAGTAAGGTAAGCTACAAGGTATCTACAATCACAGACAAAAGTAGTTGGGAAGGTTGTACAATATAACAGTAGTCTATTTTAATCCTCAAAAACGAGAGTTTTCTCTTTTGCTAACTATCCCCCGTCACCCCTTTTCAATAAGTATGCAAATTTCTCTACAGTTGATTTCTTGGGGACCGCATTCAAATTAAGAAAGAGAAACAAAATTTCGTCGTCGCTTGTCTACGTCCTCCATAAAACGTGAAATTAGGCATTTTCACGTCGTAGTCGTGCAGTAACGGCTAAGAAATATACAGAAAAGCGTGATGCACGTGCAAACCTGTTGTTTTGCTTAATACAGTTATTGCTGTTTTGACGGTCTCGCTGCCGTCGTCGTCGTCGTTGGTAAAACTACCTAATGTTGGGATGTAACAGAACAATTACGCGCACAAACTTTAAAGTTTTGCTCAACATTGGGCCAGGGGCGGGAGGAGAAAGGAAAAAAAAAGGTAAAAAAGCAACCTTCCCAACACTTTTGGCGATAATTGTAAGTATTAAGTCCTATGGCAGGTAATTTAGTTTCCAGAATCCAAGAAATTTTGGCTTGTGGAATCCAGAATCCTGCTCTTTGGAATACGGAATTCAATTCTAGGAATCCCGAATCCCGCTACGATTAGAATCCTGAATCCCGGTTCCACTGATAATGAATCCGGAATCCTGTACCTGGTTTCCGGAATCCACAGTGTGGGGAGGGGGACATTGGGGTTACCCAATACCGCAATACCGTACGAAAAATTGGCAAATACCGAAACACCGTGTCAAAAATGGACGAAATACCGATAGCGTATTTATGATCGGTGACGCTTACTTAACGTTGTATCCATCTCGCGTGTTTTTTAATCTCAAGCATGTATACGCCAGGAATCAACCTCAGCCTTCGCGCGAAAACGTGAGAAGATCTCGAATTGATCGGTACAATGATCGAAAAGCCAGGTCATTGGATGTCCTACCAATTTCATCACATAGAGTAACTGTCAGAAGTCTAAAGTCTTCCAAATATTGACCTATACATTAGACAGGAAAGGCCAAATGAACAGTACCGCAATACCGTGAAGGATCTTCTTTTACCCAATACCGTTAGCCAGGGGGATGAAAAACCGCAGACGGAAGGGCTGGATGATACCGCAATACCGCACATTAAAATCAAAATTACCGAAATACCGCTTGAAAAAAAGCTCAATACCGCAATACCGTAAACCCCCGACCCATGTCCCCCTCCGTGAGATCCAACACTCTCATTTTCAGAACGAGTCAGAGTGTAAAGAGTGAGTTCTATTTGCTGCATCAGAGTAAAATGATACCAATTAAAACCGATCTTTTGAAAATGAGTTTTATTTGCTTGAGAATAGAAACTTACTTGCAATAACTGAATAAGAAAGAATCAGGATTTTTATACACCAAAGTGTTGTGAAAAAAAAATTAATGACTCATAACTGAGATTCTTTTTGCTAGAGCTGCCTAATAACTGCTTTGGTTGCATTCAACTAACATCTCACTTTTATGATTTTCTTTTTTACTTTTCAGATTCATTCATTTACAGAAGTTGTTCAAAGAGTTCAAATTTCCAATGTTGATTTGGACACACACACCGAGGTACTCGAAAATACTAGATATGTTTCAAAACCCTTCGCCTATAAATAAGATCCTCCTTCCTGGAGGTTGTCGTTTTAAACAAATTACAATAAGATAAAAAAAACTGTAAATAATAATAATAAAAAAACAAGGAGGCTCAAGCCCCAAGGAACGAAAACAGCGAAACTTTGGGTGATGCTCGATATACCAACTCAATATATCCACTACTGTCTCGCGTTCTCTCGGGCGAAGTTTTACGGTGTTATTGTGTAAGGGCTAAGGATCATTTTTGCGTCATTCGTGACATCAGCCGAAACTTCGGAGAAAAATACCAGGCCCTCCCTCCACCGCGGTCATACGTCTATTTTTTTCTATGAGGTGTCATTTCAGGACGTTAAGAATTTGTTTTCAATTACTTGCTCAACAACACAGAATTTGAGCTTCCGCTCATTAATAACCTTTCTCGCTAAGGCAAAATTATGCATTAATTTAAGGCTTAATAGGGATGGCTTTGACAATTCCACAGTTTGGATGTATAAGTTCACTTAGAACTCTTTTTTCGTAAATTGTAAACAGATCTTTTGGAAAATTAAGAGTTTACTTTGGTAAAAGTGACAACAGGGAGGCCCGGATAATGACCAAAGGTTTCTTTTTTGAAGAATTTTGCTTAGCTTGCCTTGCAAATTTTATCGTTTAACGGCGGTAAAGGTTGTCGCATGTCATGACATTCCTCAGTTCCAGGTCTTACCTGTAACTTATATGTATTTTATTTCCTTGCTTAGTTGATGCTATTCATTGCAAAATTAAACGGAGATCCTGTCGCGATTACCGCTGGAGGACTGGTGCCAATCACCAAACCGCTGATTGTAACGGTACTGCTGATATATCTGTACTTGCTAGAACATTCTTAGGGTAAACAAGGGAACGGCGTACAATAAGGAAAGTAAACTTTAGTAATCAAAATTCCAATCCAAACGTAGAGATATAAATGCGCTACAACAACGCCAACAACTCCCACATCAAAGGGACGCCGATTTTTATCCGACAAGTAAATATGTTAGCAAGAGCTTTTAGTAGTACTTTTATTGGAAAGATTCGCAGAAGATTAAGCCACTTCAATAGCAATGTTATTTCACTGATTACTTTTTCCTTTGTCTTTCTTTCAGGTCACTGGCGTGGTTATTACATATTTTGCCCTTCTGTATGAGTTGAGGTAATGAAAGCCCACTGACCGCTGGCCCACTGACTCTTCAGTCGACGGGATGCTATCACTGCTGACAACAGACTTGGGAGAAATAGAGACTGAACCGTTGTTGTTTCATTTTTATTAGCAAATTCCCATATATTCTCTTCAAATCATGTATTATTCTACAAACCAAATTTATTTTTTAATTAAGGTATGAGCCTGAGTTTTTTCCGTTCTGCCAATTACCTAAAAGGTCGATGATAGTCTGTAAGAATTTTCGTAAAAAGGATCTTGTCGCAGTTTTAAATTATATAAATATTACCCTAGGAGAAGGTATAAAAATGTAGCTAATATATTTTGCAAAACGGGAATTTGTTTAGAGGCTCAAAACTCACGTTCTTCTTACTAACTTAGCCGCATTTGAATCAGTTCAACTTTGTTCTCGTGAGAAAATGACGCCTTTTATTAACTCTCGGACCAACTCTCTTCTTGTAACTCGACTGATGTTACAGTGCCATAGGCAACCCTGCGTTTTGGGCATCCCCATTGCCAAAACCCTAGTGATATTCTAATTCATAGTCTTATCACTAGGGTTTTGGGAATGCGGATGTTCAAAACGCCGGGATGCCCATATAACTGTAAAACTGGATAATCAACAACTTGTTCCCAGGCTCCTTTTTCTTCCTCCGAGGAACATAGAGGACCACGGGAAGGAGGTTGGATAAACTAGTCATGACAGAAATTCGAACTTAGAAATTACAAATAGAATACAACCGCTTAAAACTTGACATAAGCGTTTTAAATGCAAGTAAACGTAAGAAAAACTATTTATTAAATAAAGACAAAAGAGGAGTGATTTTTTTGTCACACTTAAGCGCTGGAAATATATAACAGTTTTAACGCGTGATTTTACGTTCTGTATCAGCTATTCAAGTTCATGAAGTGTAGAATTTACCCAATATTTTTTATAATAAAAATCCTTACATTATATTATCAATGTCGGTTGTATTTCACTGTACTGTCAGCACTCTGTGTTTATCATTATTTGAAATTTACCACCTAAGCCGAAAAGGGAACTGGTTCGCCCAAACATATTTTATACAGTTTATGAGATGAGGCGGAAACAGTAGGTCTATATTGCCTCCCGAGTAGAAGCCAAGGACGAGTACACAAAAATTGACTTATTTAACGTTGCTAGAGATCTTGTGTTCTTCTAATTTGTCCTTTTATGGTTTCAAAAGTTGATATTTGTAAGGTTTTTCAGGTCAATGACCGTAGAGTGGAGCTGCCGAAGTTGAGCTATATACTAGAGCTGTCTCAAAAGATAATACAGAACTAACGCTAGAACAGTTCAAACTTTTCATGCTTTCATGTCACCCTCTTCAAAATCAAAGCAAATACTATCTAAGTGTTCTTTAGACATTTTTATTTCTCAGTATTTCAGCGACCATCTATCTTCAAGATATCAGTAAACAGGACAGACAAAATAGAAAGGAAGCACTCGATCGGAGTGGCGGGAAAATTGGTTGACTGAGCTCAAAGAAGCGGAACATATGCAAATTGCGGCTTCTTCATTCTCGCAACTCGATTAGCGAAATATAAAAGAGCAAGATAGAAATAACAACAATATAACGTCAAGCATCCGTGAATTTGCACAAAAGATTTATGATATTAACTTCGCAAAACAGCCCTCGATTAGCGTCATAGGACGACTTCAATAGACGTTGCTCTGCAACGAGACGAAAATGAAATTTTATCATGACGATAATATGCGATCCAAGTGACCGATGCGTGGTCATTTCTGTAAAGAATTAGAGCGAAGGTAAAGTGCTTGCTTATTCATTTATCGGTATTTCATTAATTGTTATTGAATATAAAACGACACAACAGCTGAGTAATATTCGTGTTGACTTAACTCTTGTTGGTCTGTCAGTAATGTTTGTTATTACGCGTGAGTCAAGACCCTTGGGCAAGAGACAAAATTGCCAAGTTACCTATTAGGAAACTATGCTTGCTCTAAGAAGAGGAAAATTCAGAGCCTTCCTGAAGCCAACGAATTCGACTGTAAACAAAGGATACGATGGAAATTCCTTCACAAACTCTCAAGACTATGAAATCAGCTTGGAAATTACAGTAGGACCAAAAGGTTTGTTAGTTTGTTCTCGGACGTACATGAAAAGATAGTTTAATTAATGAGTAAATATTATTCTGTCAATAAGCTAGTGACAAAACATTAGATTAAAAGTCTGTTTAACATATTTAGTTGTATTTTGAGTTTTGTGATTTAATTGGGCGTCATTGTTTTTGACCTATAAGGCATCGTGCTACAGACAGCCTACGAAAATTTGTTGAAACATTGCCGTATGATCGTAGTCGAAGGCAACATTAATTTTGCCAGAGCTGCTCTGGATATGGTAATCTAATAACCATTTAATGACAAAGCAAATCGCTTAAGAACTTTTGAGGCATTCCATCTCGGTTTAAAATTCGTTAATTTGAATTATTTTCTCGTTTTTTAGGTGAAATAAGTCGACAGGATGTAGAAATTACAGGAGGTAATGACGAACATTACATACCTGGAAATCCAGGAATATTCATATCCTGGATAAAGCCTGGAAGTGACGCAGATAAAGTCTTAAGACCCGGATGTCAAATAACGAAGGTAAGGCAAGAGGCGGGTATCATTTGGTTTGGCTGATCTTCCGTGTCACATGATTGTGAAGGATTGTGGGTCCTATATTGGTGCAGTTGCTGTTGACATTCGGAGATTTTGCATCGTACCCAGGTCTCCCAAGCCCAAGGCAGGCACGAGTCTGAGTAAGGAGATTGCCCGGCCACATTTCTTCTAGTCTCCATTGTGCGCGCAGACTTTATAGCCACCAGGGGCCCTAGGAGAGTTCCGGTATTTACTGTGCCCAGAAAAGCTATTTTATGTTTGCAATATATTCACAAGCCATTCACAAGATTTTGATAGTAATGTTTTAAAAGTAGGACTGGTTTGTGTGCGAGAGTTCACGTTAGGATCATTATTTTAGGATAAGGCCTCCAGCCAGGAATTGCCAAGTTACCGGGACTTTCGAGAAACGGATCCTATGTCATTGTTGTTGGAGAACCGCGTCGAAATGGAAATCGTTCTGCATGGGATTATTAGGTAGTAAGGAACCAACAACGTACCATCCCTTCCTGGTCAGTCTTGAAGGGTCATGCAAACATGCCAGTTCAGGTCAGGTTTTAATGTCAAAATGGTACCTATACCATGAATAACCAGCCTTCTACTGTTATGTCATTTGTCACTTCTATTCTTCCCTTAAAAGATTGACGATGTTGATGTGCGGAATGTTTCCCGTCAGACGGCCCAAAATCTGCTTCGTTTTGCCGATCAATACGCTGAGATACATGCTTTAACAATGCAAGGAGATGAGGTGAGTGGCTGATTCTCCAACAGAGCGGCACCCTGTGTTGAAATGCGGTTAAAAAGCCAAAAGAACAATTAAATCAATTTAGTTAGTTAGTTGTAATGGACTGTAGGTGAGAACAATAATTCCCGCTCTCCAACAAGATCAGGTTTTATAACTTACAGTACAGGTAATCGTCGCCTTTCTCATCACATTTATGTTTGAGTAAGCAGGCAGCGTTATTATATGGCTGAATCTGCAAGCAAGCAAGATGAGGTGAATCATACGTTCTGATTGGCTACCCGAGCGGGCGAGATGGGTCCACCTTACCTGCTCGGGTTTTCCCGCGTTGGTCCCGCAGGGAAAAAGTTCACTTTTTGGCCATATAATAAATCCTTTATTGACCCAGCTTGTTCGGTCAAGAGGGCTGAATTACGTCCAAATCCTTTTTGGCGTTTTTATCGACCTCGGTCCATAAAAACGCAAAAAAAAAAAGACTTGGCCGATATTCAGCCATCGTGACCTCACTCTTGATCAATAACGCATATGTCGGCCCATGTAAAGGAATCCGCATTCCGGAATCTGGGAAATTTTCGCTTTTGGAATCCAGAATCCTGGGCCCTGGAATCCAGAATCCCACCAACGATTAGAATCCAGTACCTAGAATCCGGAACCAGTTCACGGCGTGGAATCGGCATAATTCAAGACTGTCTTGGATTTCCTTACATGGGGCGACATAGACATGTATAGTACGATGAAATATCAGATGCAAATCAGTTTTTACGACTCTTTCCCAGGTATCACAAGTATCGTCAAATTCTAAGATGGTATCGTGGGGCGGAGTAAGCATTGACTCCGAGGTAGACAACAACAGCGACTCAGGACGAGGAACTGATATTATAGAGAAAGAAAATAAACCTAACCTGGACGGAGGGAAAACCATCAGCGTTAAAGTTCCTGTCGGAGTAAAGGGTAAGGTAACTAAGAGGAAGCACAGTGGTCGAGTGGATTATCGCCATGGTCCGGCGGCTAGTTTGTCAGAGGAGAGGTAGGCTCGATTACCAGCGGCTGTTCGAGAAGTAAGTCCGCGCTCCTCACCCGAACAGCCGTCTCTTCTCGGGGAGGACCTAGAGAGCGGCGAAAATCGAGCCTAGAGAAGGGGCAGTTGGGCAATTTGCCAGAATCTTACACTGATCCGTTCTTGTTGGGC